ACCTCATGATCACGTAGGCTGGTGTGCTTCTTCCACGTGGGCTTTGTTGCTTCTGAGCTAGATGGCTGCTTGTTTACTTTCAAGCCTTTAAGACCTCCGATGCTATATCTTTTGATAGCCGGGCATCATCAGCTTTCTTCACCACATTTGGGTATGAACTGACTTTGTCTTCAGCGATTGTGTCAGGAAGGTGAGCATGATGGAATGCCAGTTTAATAGAACAAAGTATTCTTGTATTGAGTAAGTTCTTGAGTGGAGGCCCAATGTCCATCTGCTACCTTAATACTGAACCTATACATATATGCACATAGATCTATTTCCACTTCCTCATATATTTACATATGTACATGCCTTTATTTAGACCTCTATATATGCCCTTTGCCTCCTAGTTCTTTCCTCTATTTCCTTTTACTTTCCTCTTGTCCCGCTATCATGTTCAGCCTTCATTTGGGTTTCAATAATTCCTCTTGGTTACATTACACTTGGTAATGTACACCTACACCCTCCTCACCACCGATTTGGATCACTTGTTGTTCCTTTTTCCCTGGGTTTGTTAATACCACTTCCTTTCCCCCCACCTCCCCCTCTCCCACGTCCCCCTGGAACTGTTGGTCCCGATGTTTTCTCCTCCAGATTGTTCATCCGGCCTATCTTATTTAGACAGACCTGCGGAGATAATAACATGCACAAAAACAAGAGCAAGCAACAAAAGAAAATAAAACACCACCACCAACAAGCCTATGACAAAAAAACACAAAAACACAACTACAAAAAAGAAAAGCTTGTAGTTAGTTCAAGGACTGCTTGTTGGCCTTTAGGAGTGTTTTCCGGTGGAGTCTGATGGGGCGCCAAGCCCTGGCCCCCAAGTCTATTTTTGGTATTCCCTGGGGACTTCATTGCTCTGTTCCCCTTGCTGTTCTGTTGCACGCCCGTAGTGTTTTGCCTCAGTGTGGTGGGATCAGATCGGGCAGAATTCCCACACTGTGTCTCCAGTGTTGTCCCCTGTAAGGCTATGGGTCAGTGAGGGATGTCGTGTCTCATAGTGGGGCTGGCCATAGGGTCTTCTGTGTGGATTGGCTGCTCTGAGCAGGAATCTCTTCGTCAAGGCTTGGTGGGCCAGAATGTGCTCCACTCTCTTCCTCCCCCTTCCCGTGTGCTCTGATCAGACATGTCCCTCTCCCTGAGTTGCAGATTCAGTGCTGTCCTCTGAAACAAATTCTTCTGGGGGGATGGGGTGGTATCCATGCAGTTGGGATTGGGGCCAGCCCCTCAGACCTCTCCACTGGTTCCCTACGCCATACGGCCACGTTTTGTATACCGACAGCAAATGGGGCCAGACCAGTGCCATCTGCATGGCTGTAGATAGATTTTTGTCCATTTAACAAAATTCTGTAATAAATACATTTAGAATGGCTCATGATTAAAGAGGTGGTGTAGTGGTGACGCCTTGCCTTGGGCTGCTAACCACAAGGTCAGCAGTTTGAAACTACCAGCTGCTCCCAGGAGAAAGGGCTTTCTCCTCTTGAAACCAGGCCCAGTCTCGGAGAGCCTTCCGGACAGTTCTACACTGTCCTAGCGGGCCACTGTGAGTCAGCATTAACCTGATGGCAGTGAGTTAATGATTAGATAAGACCCTGGTGGTGCTGTCGGGGAAGTGCTGGACTGCTAACCACAAGGCCGGTGGTTCAAACCCACCAACCCCTCAACGTGAGGCAGATCATCAAAGTGAGACTGCTCAGGTAAGATTTACAGCCTGGGAAACCCTACGTAGGGTCACTGTGAGTCGGAATCCACTTGATGGCAGCGAGGAGGGGTTGTTTGCGGTTTCATTATTAAAGAAAGAAGAAATGGCGTTTGGAAAGGGGATGGAAGAAATGAGCATCCGCGGCTCCAGAATTTAGAACCTCACCTGGGCCACCCTTCCCCTGCCCAGCGCGGACGCCGCCGAACGGCCCGAACACGCATGCGCGCTCCGCGGGCGGCGCCGGCGGCGCGGCGCATGCGCGGGGGAAGGCGGTCGCCATGGGAACGCGTGGGTCCGGCCGAGGGCGCCCGGAGCGGCGGGCTCTGGGCCGGCGGGTCTCGGGCTGCCCCCGGCCGTGGTCCCGGCCCCGAGGGCGGATGGACGGCCGCGGCGGCGCGGGGGCGGCGGGCTACGAGGAGGGCGAGGACGACGAGGAGGCGCGCGAGGGCGGCGCTGCGGGCGCTACGCCGGGGTCCAGACTGCCCCCCATCGCGGGCGGCGCCTCCGAGCTGGCCAAGCGGAAGGCCAAGAAGAAAAAGAAGAGGAAGAAGACGAAAGGGTCGGGCAAGGGGGACGGTAAGAGGGGCAGCGCCAGCCTCAGACCCTCCAGCCACCAAGAGAACGCCTCCAGCCGTACCCAGCAGCGCGCCAATCCCAGCTGCCCAGCACCCCGCTCCTCCCGCCCAAAGAGGCCCAAGGAGCAGTGACCCACCCATCCGGCGCCCTCTCCCACGCAGACACGAGACCACCGAAACCTCTACCCTACCCCGCCCTCACCAATGGCCCCACGTTCTCCGGAGAGACCTCTCCCAAAGACCCTTCCATCAATCCACATGGACACTCCAATTCCTGTCCTGAGAATGCCCAATATCCACCAAGACCCTTAGCCCCACGCAGAGAAGCTCCCCACAAAGACCCCTTCTCCACACCCTCATCCCACAGAGAGGGCTCCCAGCCCCCTGCAGCGACCCTCACCATTCCCTAACCCCACCAGGGGATTCTCAACCCTAGACATCCACACCTTCCCCCCAGAAACCTCCAGTCTCCCTGCAGGGAGGCCCTCATCCCTACTCTGGTCCCAAAACGACAGCGAGGCCCACCGAGCAGGCGTGAGGCACTTCCACACAGTCACTGGCTCCTGCCACCTTCCTGTGTGACAAGCACCTGACCTGTGACCAGTCGAGGTAAAGCACACACACACACACCCCACCCCACCCCAAGGTGGCAAGTAGCAGCCTCTGGTCACACCAGTGTCTGCTCCCCAAACCAGCGCCAGACCCGAGCCCTGCTCCACAGGCTTGGCTGTGATCTCTATGGAAGAAGATTGCTGGCCTTTTTTCTGTAGTTCCATTGGGTTCAAATCACTTAAATTGCCCTTAGCAGTTGAAGAGTGAGTCAGGCTGCTCACAGAAAGATCAGCAGTTTGAACTCCCCAGCAGGAGAAAGCCGCACAGACTTACTGCCCGGGAGCCCTGTGGGCCAGTTCTACGCTGTCCTATGATGGGGTCACTCTCTAGGAGTCAGAGTCAGCTCCACGGTGCTGGGCTTAGGGACCGTTGCAGACTATTAAACTCCCTAACACCCCACCATATAATGCCACCAAATCAGGAGACACCCCTCCTGCACACACACCCGTAGTCCACACACACACTCACACGGGCCTGTTCAGACACGGTCACACACATCCATCTGTCCGTCAGCACCTGCCACAAGCCCACAGAGCCCCTCTCCCATCGGACCCCAGACACTGGAGCCCAGGAACCCAACACCCACCTTGTGGAGATCGAGCTCAGCAAGGACAAGGGATGCAGGGCTGGGAAGCTCCATGGTCACCCGTGGGGCCTGAGCTGCCAGGAAAGTGGTCCCCCCTGACCTGGCACCACAGCGTGGTTGGGCCAGGGCTCAGCCTGTGGATCGCTGGTGCTGTGGGTGTGGATCTGGCGGCACCTGGCAAGACGCAGGTGGAAGGAGGGAACGGCAGCCTTCCCTGGGTCAACCCCTTAGTTTGAGGAAGGGAAGAACGAGGAGGTTATAATGACTTCTTCAGATGGAACCAGAAATGTTTTTTAAGGCATGGGGATGGGGATGGAGATAGGGGAGGGATCTGGAGTTTAGGTTAGAACCCCAATGTGTGTCAGCTAAACCAAATTAAGGAAGTGTGTTGGCTTTTTGTTTCAGCTAGTCGCTCCAACCAGTGGTTCGAAATCAACCACCACCCAATTGGACAAAAGACGGGGATTTCTACTCCAGGAAAGAGTTACAGTCTTGGGAGCCCACAAGGGCAGTCTACCCTGTCTAGAGGGCGCTGTGAGCGGGCCCTGTCTGTGTGGCCCTGAGGATGGCTTTGGGTGTGGTCTGATTCTAGTCATTGCAGAGGCCTGTTCCCCAGACTGTCAGCAGGGGGTGCCACATCGTTTTCAGGGAGCAGAAAGGGGCCAGATGTTTCCAGACGCATTTTCCTTTTTTTTTTTTTCAGGGAGGGGAGGAGACAGCAGAAAATGGGAGGATGAGTCGATGAAAATCCCAGTCTCCAGGATTTTGTATGCATTTTAAAACATTCTGAAGTGCTGTTTGTGGTGAAAAAAAGTGTACTTCAAAAAAAACCTCTCAGTACAAGCCACAGGACGGAAGTATTTCCTGGCTTAGCGCCCTGCTGCCTTCCTCCACCACACTCAGGACGCGTTCCTGTTCTCCCTTTCTTCCATCGTAAAGTGTCTAGACTGGTGGCGGAGTCATGGGCTCCTAGGGCTGGGGAGGAGCTGGGTACGTACGGGGGTGGGGATCAAGTTGGGGGCAGGCAGAGTGGAAAGAACAGGGCCCTAGGAGTCAGGGCTGCACCCAAACCCCCCAGGAATTGCTGGCACGTATCTGAGACTCTTGGACCCTTGGTTTGCTCATCTGGGAAATAGAATTGAAAGTCTTTTATCGAGAGGAGGAGCCTTGGTGGCCTCGGGGTTACGTGTGGGGCTGCTAACCGCAAGGTCGGCAGTTCAAAGCCACCAGCTGCTCCGTGAGAGAAAGGCGGGGTTTTCTACTCTTGTAAAGAGTTGTGGTCTCGGAACTCACGAGCAGTTCTCCCCGGCCCTAGAGGGTCGCTATGAGTCGCCATTGGCTTGGTGGCAGCGACTGAGCCGTTTTCCAGACTCAAACCAAGCCCGTAGCCATTGAGTCAGTTCTGACTCACAGGGACTCTGTAGAGCAGAGCAGCCTGCTTCCCGGAGGTCTCCATGACTGTAAATGTCTACGGAAGCAGATAAGCTCATCTTTCTCCCATGGGGCAGCTGCGATGGTTTGAGTCTCGCTGGCCTTGTGGTTTGAACTGCTGATCTTGGGGATGAGCCAGGCCAGCACCTGGCCCACAGCATCGCTAGGGCTCCCTTTGCTGTATCCAGAGGACTCCCCAAATGGTGACTCCCCCCCAACCCAGAGTGGCTTAATCAAAAGCCCCCAGCTGATGGGCGCTTCCGGCAGCCTCCCTGGCAAGCTGAGCACAGGGTCACCACTCACACAGCTCTTCCACTCAGCAGATAAACAGCAGAGCCGAGGCCTGAAGAACCAGCCTCCTTCTCCATCTTCTCACGACATCTTAAGTTGGAGCAAAGACCAGGGCCTGAAGCAAGAGCGGAAACAGGACCGCCAGCAGAGCCGCTGGCCCGCCGTCGAGGGTGACCTGCCCAGCGTCGCTGAGGTGGAAGAGGCCCTTTCGGACCAGATGAATGAAAGCCTGCGCTGGGAGGGGGTCCTCACCGACCCCGAGGCGGAGAAAGAAAGGATTCGCATCTATAAACAGAACCGGAGGAAACGCTACCGCACGCTGGCCCTCAAGGGCTTCCCCACCGACCAGGACGCCCAGGAGCAGATGGGCGAGAACCCGCCCTACCGCTCCGACAGAGAGGGCAGCTCCGCTAGCAGGCCGCACCACTGCCTGGAAATGCTGCACGCCGAATTGATTCCTGCTCTGTCCGAATGAGGCACACAGGCCCCCACTCCACCTCCACCCCCCACCCCACCCCCACGCGCGCGCGCGCGTACGTCCTCCCTGACTACACAGTGATGCTGCGGAAGAACCGAGATTCCTTATGAGAGGAAAGCAGAGCTCTATGTGAAGGGAGCCAGCGCTGGGAGAGCCATGAGAGCCGCCTCTCCCTGCTCCCGGGCGCCTGTCTGCCAGGGGAAGCCACAGGCCCCGGCAACAGAAGGTCGTGGATAGTATTCTTGGGAACATTTCCTTTTTCTTAAATAAACTGGCATCTCTCTTTGTACCTGACTTCTCATCGTTCTCCCCACCACACACACCAAGAGAGAGAGAGAGAGAGAGCCTATAGAAATGATAAACTCTCAGTCTTCCACGAAGACGGCAGTGGTAGTTCAGGGGTAGAATTCTCGCCTGTCATGTCAGAGACCGGAGTTCAAATCCCCGCCAATGCACCTCTCGCAGCCACCTCTGCCGGTGGCGGTTTGAGCACTGCTATGATACCGACGGGCCATCACACAGACAGACAGATCCAGGTGAGGAACAAAGGCCTAGTGATAGACTTCTGTGTGACCCTACGTTGTGCCTGGGGTTCCCACTGACGGCAGCTAACCGCCAAGTATAAACCAGTACCACCGCTTAAAAAACCCACCTCTCACATGGGTCTACCACTCAAAACACTCTGCAAGCGAGCCGATTCCGACGACGACTCGGCACAGGTGGCCAATTCAAGCCCCCAGTCGGTCTGAGGAGGAAAGGTGTGTCGGCTCCGGTGAAATGGTCAGCTTCGGGACCCCTAGGGAGCTGCTCTACTCTGTCCTACAGGACAGACTTGATGGCTATGCATGTTTTTTAAAGGGAAGGTGAGGGGCTCAGGTCTCAGAACACCCCCGAAGGCATTGGCTGCAGGCTATTGGGGTGAAGGGATGGGCGTATAATTGCCTCATCCCCAGGTTGACACAAAGTCTAGGTCCCACAGTCTGTGGACCTAGAAGCCTAGCCTAGTTCTGGGTGAACAACCGTCCCTGAGGCACAAAGACGCAGCCCGGGAGGTGTAAGGGTTAAGCATGGTCTCTAGTCCCACGGTGCCACCTGCACACCCCCCAATGTCAGGCACGAGAGGGACAGAACCAGGTGACCAGTTGATGCCATTGCCTGGTGGCCACAGAAGTGCCAGAGCAGAACGCGCACCCCGCGGTTTCCACGGGCTGACTTTTCCGAAGTCCTTTCTGAGTGCCTCTGGGTGGCCTCAAACCCCTGACCTGCTGAGCAGCCAAGAGCAGTCACCCTTTGGATCACCGGGGACTCCCAAGAGGGACAGACAGAGGGAGGGTGGGGTGAGGCTCCTGTCTTCCAGGGGGGTATTTAAAAGCCAGGCATCACAGAGGCTGATTTGAAAGTTAGTGGAAGGGGTCCTCTGGACTCTGTCACCCGAGGGCAGACCCCGCCTTCCCTCTCCTCACCCAGTTACAGAATTTTCTCCTTTCTGCCAACGGGTCCTGATAAAACAGGCTGAAGGGACTTGGAGGGAGCCCTCCCCTCCCCTGGAGACTGCTTCGCAGTGGGCCAGGCAGGGATCCTGACGCAGACAGAGAAGACCCACCCTGTGCTGTGGTGGCCTGTCCTCTGGGCTGTCCAGGCAGAGGGAACACGGGCTTTGGGTGTGGCTCGGTGGGAGGAGGTCCCAGGACCTGCCTAACGTCCCAGGGGCAGATGGAGCTGGCTGCCCAAGGACCAGCGGGGCTGGCATCTCACCTGCCCTCTGAATCCAACGGAGTGACTACGAGCTGGGAGGGGAGGGGGAAGAACGCGTGTGGGAGGTTCTGCAGGCACGCCCCGCTGAGTGCCCTGGTCACTTAGCAGGGTCTCTCGGGGTGGGGGTGGCAAGTGAGGTGCCCGGGTGGCCCTCCTGCCGTGTGACGTGGTCCTCGTTAACCAGTGCTGCTGAAACAGGGACATCACAATTGGGCAGCTCTAAAGCAGTCGAAGGGGCTGGACTTCAGGAGAGGACACTCTCTGTGGTAGCTCCGGGGTGGGGGGCAGGGATATCTTCGTCTCAACTTCCCGAGCATTCTTGTTGGTGCCCCCTGGTTCACTTGGCATTCCTCTTGATTCCGTGCTTGGTCCTGTGCCTAATCTGCTTTCTTATCTCAGAATTGATTCGTCTTCAAGCACACCCTCCGCTGGAATGACCATCGGCCCGTTCCCAGCGGGGCTGTTCCATCCACAGCAGGGTCAGGAGTCTAACACCTATTTTGAGAGGACCCAATTCAGTCCATTAAGGATGCTATTCTGGGAAAGCGGCTCAAGATTTCTCAGCTTTGACCGCCTCTCGCCCACCTCCTGGGCGCTGCTGTCCTTAGGTGAAGCGTTCCCCCCAGGAGAAATATGCCCATTACCCTCCGCAGGAGGAGGGACGCATTTTCAGGAAGCCTGACCAAGGGTCAGGGGTGTGGCTCACATAATACAAATCAATCTCAGCTCGTCTGGATGGACAGCCTGCTAATCTCCGGAGCAACTGACCCTTGGCCAGCACCCTGGAACCCATCCACGAATGCTATGCTAAACCGTATTCCAAGGCTAGGGCCCCGTGGGTCGTTTTGGAGTGGCATGGGCCAGCCAATTGGCATTGCTCAGTACTAATCCTTGGGTTGATGATTTGAATCCGGTCTTGGTGGCACCCAGGGAGGGGGAGGAGTCACCCTTTAAGGCTCGTCACATAGCCAGACGTGCTGTGAGAGACTTTCAACCCAAGTAGGCATGGGGATTCTGGTCACCAAGGTGCTTCACGCTACACCAGTTAGGGGTTCAAACCCTGGACGCCTAGCGTGGGCCTCATTCCCATCCACGGGGGTCACTGCAGGAAGACACAGCCCAGGCTGGTGTGGTAGATGACCCCCAAGATCCCTGCGTCTGGGGACTCACGCCCTTGTGTGACCCACCCCCATCCCCACCCCACCCTCAACCCCACCCCACCCCCTGGCATGAAGGTTCCTTCTGACGTGAGGGCTGACTTCTGCTAAAGAGCATGGCTCAGGCGATGATGTCCCTTCCTAGACTTGGTTACAGAAAGAGCCTGTGGCCGCCATTTGGCCACACTGTCCCTTCCCTGGGCTCTGGGAGCGCCACTCCGAGGGAAGCAAGCTGCCAGGCTGTGGGCAGCCTGAGGAGAGGCCCCTGTCGCAGGAACCTAAGTCCCCAGGCAGCAGCCTGGGGGGACCTGAGGCCTCAGAGTGAGCTTGGAAGCAGGTCCGCCTCCACTGGCGCCTTCAGGTGTCTTCCGCCTTGGGCGAGACCCTGAGTCAGAGGCCCCCGGCTAACCTGCACCCAGGTGCCTGCCCACGGTCACTGGGAGATGACGAGGCTAATTTAAGCCCCTCTCTTTGGGCATAACTTGTGACTCAGCCGTCAATAACTGGTGCACACATAGCTGGCTGCCTCCCAGCCTTGTTGTCCGGGCACCACGCGCACCCGGCACTGAGCTCCCTTGCCGAGGCAGCCACTGGGGCGTGAAGAGCAGGAGATGACTGCATGGCTTGCTGGTCTTCAATCACAGCGGCACAGCGCGCCGTGTCCCTGTGTCTCCAGAACGGGAGAGAGCATAGGGCAGACTCGCTCTTATTGTTGCCAGGTGCCATGCAGTCGGCTTCAGCTCATGGTGATGGGCGCTCTGTGAGAGTGCACAGCTGCCCCTGCGGCTCCATGACGCTCATCTTAATGGAAGCAGAGCCCAGTCTCGGGCCTGCAGAGACGGAGCGAGGCTCCACCACCCATCGACCTGCCAGCAAGCGGGTTCTCACTCCTGCAGTTGTGGCACGAGGGATCCTCCCAGGTTTGCTTCCAGGGTGATAGAAGGGAGTCCATTTCCCCCGGCTCAGACACCCTCTCCTGGGGCACAAACCACGGGCCCAGCAGTCTTTCTTTCTGCTGGGCACTGGGTCGAGAACCACTACCACCCCACCACCCCAACAGAAACCTTGTGTTTTCCGGTGTCACCGGGCCCTCTTTGCATCGCCCTGTGGGAACCAGCCCCCACCCCCACCCCCACCCCGTCTTGATTCTCTGGCTACAGTGATGACACCGGTTAATAAGCCAGCCTCTGTCTTTGCCCCCAAGAACCTCATGTCTTAAGTCACCGTGAAACGGCAAACTCACTTGTTAGCTTGCAGATAGTGAAAAAAATCTACGGCCAACTCACAGTTCTCGGCCTTGGCCAGTAGAACAGGTAGGCTGGCCCATAGACCTTTAGTTTATCTACACTTAACGTGTTCGCGCAATGGGGGTGCTGGGAGCAGCCTGCCACAAATAAGCCAATTCACAAAACGGGCAGAAGGGAGGTGGAGCGTTTGTATTGAATACTAACCAATGCCCAAGGAAAGAGCTCTGGTGGGTTACATGCTGGCCTGCTAACCACAAGGTCAACAGTTCGAACCCACCCGCTGTTCTGCGGGAGAAGCAGGAGGCCTTCTGCTCCCGTAAAGATTTACAGCCCTGGAAACCCACAGGGAGGTCTCTGTCCTCCCAGGTCAATGGGATCAGAACTGACAGGGTGACCGTGAGCTTGACTGGCTTGAGCACCCAGAGAGGACCGAAAGGTTCTTGTCCAGCCACGTCTGCCTCTCCGAGCAACAGGTCAAGGGTGATTTGTGGGCAAGGCTGGAGGGAGGGGCTCTTCGGGAGCAATCTGGCCCGAGATTGCCTATCTGGCTCTCAGAATGTTCTGTTTGTTTGGAGGGGTGAGTCGGCATTCCAGTGGAGGTATTGGTGGTGAGCTCTGTTAATTTCTAACTTCTGGGAGGAAACGGGGAGCCCTGCTGGCATAGTAGGTAAAGCCCAAGGCCGGCATTTTGAACCCACCAGCCACTTCTCAGGGAACAGATGAGGCTTTCTGCTCCCCCAAAAGATTTACCATCTCAGTACCTGCCCTAACGCCGTAGGAGACATAACCCGAGCAGACATGTGCATGCCCGCGCTCGCTTGTCACAGCACCGTCCCATGAACGAGAAATTGGAAACGGCTCAAATGCCCATCAGT